TTCTTACATAGCCCGATTAATCAGTTTTTCAATATTTGTCTTTTATTTTCGTTTCTTGTCCATTCAGAAAAATCTATCTTTTAACTTGTTTACCTTGATTTTATAATCACTTGCTTGACTGATTACTGTAGGAGCAGTAAACAGAAAGTGTATGTACGTTTAGTGTCAAGGCTACAAGGAAAGCATATTTATATTATAAATATAATAAATATTTATATCCATTAAAAATATTTACATTATTATGTGTATTTACATTTAATATTTAATACAATATATTTATATTAATATATATTTATTTATATATATTTGTATATTTATATTTATATTATTAGCACATTCGCATTACTACCACCCCAAAACATCAAAAAAATAATATACATTTCAAAGATTCCGAAGTCACCGAACTCCGAAACCACATTAAGTGGATCCGTTGGTTACAAAGAACAGGCCCACCAAGAAAATTTCGTAACGTATTCATTTTTTCCTTTTCCGTATGGTTCCATGGCAGCGGGACGCAAACGAACAAGCCGGTGCAATGGACGAACCTCAATCCGTCTGGTATGCTGGACGAGATGAAGAAACTGCAGTTCATGTTTCCCTTCAAAACTCTGGAGGATTACATGAAGCGAGCCGGGATAACGAATGGCTACCAGAGCAAGCCGTGCCTCGACCCAACAGATCCGGAATGCCCGGAAACCGCACCTAACAAAAAATCCCAGCAGGTAAGCAAGCCTGTTGTCCCGAGATTTTTGTTCACGGCAACCTCTCGACCGATTAAGGTGAGAGACTTTCGGAGCCCCTGTGTGTAATTGTTGATTCATGAGTTGCCCGCGAGTTTCGTGACGCCAGCCCCCTCGGTCTTTTCATATCGACCAAGTACCAGCAGCGACAAATTCGGATTACCTTGCGCAAAGGTGCATGAAGATAACGCTTCGGATTGCTCCTGGTTAACCCCGTGTCCTGTGATTTCTTTCACAATTGTGCTGGGTAAAACTACTTTATCGACAATAATTTCTGATGTTTTAGAGTTTGATACTTATTATTAAATTCTATTAACTTAATGCTATCTACCAAATTTTGTAGATAATCCTCATTATGTTCCTTCGTTGTAACCTTATAAGTATGTATATAACATTTACTTGAATATTCCAGAAGTAGAAAATAATTAAACAAAAAATTTCAATAAAATTCTTAACTTTCTCAAAAATATCCAATTCTAAATAATGTTGAGTACCTTCTAAAATCACGCTTTAACCTCTTCTCTTATAATATTGAATCAGACTTTTAACGAAAATATTAAATCAAATTCGACAAGTCTAAACGTTACTACTTATTTTTCGTATAAATAAAATATTACTTGCTCATTATCAATCTTTAACCTTGAGAGTAAACGTAGACACAAAATAAGCATCAAATTCTTTTCTATAAATTATTAACGATAACGCAATTTGATTAAACGCAGTTGCGAAAGAAATCATAGGACAAGGGGTTAACTAACCGCACCGGTACTTAGCACATATCTGTTTCTACCGTAACCAGTCGAACAACTGGCTACAAAATAAAAATAAACAAGTTCGACGACAAATTTGTCTTACTAGAAAAACAAGGGGAAAGACAAAAATTGAGGAATTGATTAATCGGGCAATATAGGAATTGATAGAAAGTTAAATGAACGGAAAAAACGCGGAATTTTAAATGATATTTTAAAACCGGTCATTTAACCGGTTCGATCAGTGTTAATTACAAATTCGCAGCTGAAACGAGTGTCACGTGTCGAGGGGCACACCGTATATATTCGCAGGTCGCATCGTGAAATTTTTGCTGTTATAAATTCACGATATTAGAAACTTTCCAGAATGATGTAATTACGCGGCCCTGTGCGCACGAGAATTTCCTGGGTTTCTTGTTGGCTGGTTCCCTCCCGGTGGTGTTATCCTCCCAAGTAGCAAGCTCGTGACACGTATTACGCCACCATCGAGCATTCGTAGCCGTTGTAGACCGCGAACGAGCAAAAAGCTCGCAACCACTTATTAGCACGCTTGTTCCTGCGTCAGAGGGATTGATGTTATAACTCATAGCCTACGTGCAATTATGCCGAGTCCGTTTATTAGCTTTAATTCTGTCTCGGGCTCATTTGCCGTTGGATTTATACTCGCGATCAATCTGCCGGGACGGGATCTACAGATTGATGTACGGAAATAATTATACGCGCTATCAATATCACGCAACGGCGGAACGCCGTATTGGAAATCGATTGGTAGCTATTCGGAAATTCGAGTTCGAGATTATTTTTGGAGGCAGTATTCAAAGACGTTGTTTTTTTTAATATTAATACTGTACGAAGGAAAATTTTTGAGGTCTGAATCCAATTTTGTTTGCATTGAAATGGGATTGTTGTTGATTCGAAAGTAATTAAGAAAGGTTCATTGAGAAATGATGTTTTTGATTTGAATATTAAAAGTCGAGGATTTTTGGAATTTTTAGGATTACGCTGGATGGTTTGGTGTTATTAGATACATCGAGTGTTGCATTGGATTGAAAAAGATTATTTGGCACAGCAATTCTTTAACAGTTTATTTTGAATATTTTAAAATTCAGATTATTATTAGAAAAGTTTATTAGATTAGATTATTATTAGAAAAATTTTTATTGAATTATTTGCTTGACAGGGCACAATTTCCAAATTGTATGAACGTTTGTAGTTACTGTATGTACAGCAAGTATCTAATAACAAATATCAATACGAATTATTTAAAAGTTTGTATTATACGATGTTTTTGTCTTTAATTTGTTCTCAATCAGCTTTAATCAATTACTTTGTTCGTATTTAATCGCTATATTTTATTCTTGAACTTGGAAATATTTCGATTAACATGTAAATGGTAAAAAGTGGAACAATCAATTCCGTAACATATTTTAGCATCACGTCTCAATAAAACTGCTCACACAATTAACAAAAATATTTTCCACTATACAAGAATAAATAGAAATATAGAAAACTAACGTACATTAACAACAAGTAAACTTAAGTGACAACTGTAAAATTCATGAAAATAGCCATACCATTTTATTTCTATTTCTCAACGAAGTACACGCACCTCTCTAAAGAGCGTATGAAGGAAATCAGTGGGAAAACAGAGAATTCCTCTCGCAAAGGATTGATTCGAGAGATTCGATGGATGAAACACGTAGACTAAATTGCTATGAAAATACCGACTCGTAGCGACATAATCGCTTAAATTGCAATGAAACAATGTAAAAGTGTGGCCGGACGGTAAAATTCGTTCATAAGATCGATGCACAGAATAATGATAGGCCAATTGTAATTCTGCGATCGATGGCGACCGGTTGCGTTTACGTGGCGAGACCGGTGGGTCTCGGACACCGACGCCCATTTCGCTTTGATGTCCGCAGAGTATTCCGTACTCGAAGCCGACGACCACGGTAATGAATACTTAATTGAGCGCACTTGGAAATTGTGTGTACGTAAGGCGCGACCGAAATTGAGAATTTCTCGTCACGTGGAATCAAAGGTGAATGCTGATGCAGGCGACGGCCGATGGAGACAGAGGAAGTCAGCTGTCCGCGGTAAAATCTATCGACCCGAATACGGAAGTCGGCTATTCATGCGACCCCTTCGAATATTTTGAAATTTTTCACGCGCCTTAGGCCTCGGGAAATGCGACATGATAGGAATTCTATTAAACGAGACGAGAAAATGTTTTCTTTTTGTATCCCAGATTATGGGATTTTGGAATTTTAAATTTAGATTGATATAGGGAAGTAATTCTATTTGAATTTACCTTTGATTAATAGTAGTTTTTAATGTATTTAGATTAAGAAAGTACTTATTAAGTGAAATCTGTTCACTGGAACTTCGATTTAACATGTACTGAATGATATAGTAAGTTTTAAAAATATTAAAATAAAAAATTGAAAAAAAACTATACAAACATTTTGAATTAAACTATACAAACAAATAACACAAAAAGCAAATTTTCCTAACTCCCCTAGTAATGTTCAACAGAAAGAAATTAACGTTTACATTTCATCAACCTTCTGCTACAAACTCTTATAAACTGTCTTCCACGCAACTTTATTTTCTTCAGAAAATTAAAAAAGAATCGCATTGGATTTCGATTATACAAACACTTTCACATTGATTTCAGCTTCGAATACAAAGAATGCACACAAAAATATATAGGTAACCCCGTATAACACGGTTATTATGTTTCTAAAAATGCCGTGTTATGCGAATCCATGTTATACGAAATAAAGAACTAGTGAAAAAATAGAGATAGAGTCCAAAAATTATAAAACATAATTACTATTTCTAAAATTGTAATCTATATATAATGTAATAAAAAGAAAACACGAAATTTTAAAGTGTACTTAATACTCCACGAACAAAATAAGTTTGCAAATTCTAATAAATTTCAAAACTCTGCAAGCAAATCTGATACGACGTATACGCTCAATACGTTCCGTGTTGTACAGAAATTTGTCTAATTTCAAATTTTGCTCTTAAAAACTTTAAACTTCGCACGGGGATTTCTCTAACTCTCAAACCGTGTTATGAGAGTTACCCGTACTAACACTAAAATTTGCACAAACATTGACACTTTCGTTGCCAACGCAAGAATCAAACAATACCAATCACGTATCCGGGGCACAAACCGTGAAGCCGCAAAAAAGAAGAAGGTCCGTCCACAATTCCCAAATAAAATCTCCATAATCCGTCCGAAAACTCAATCAGAGACACTTCGCGATTCACGAACCGCGCGCGCGAATAAAATTCCGAAGAATGGCAAATCGTTGTTCGATACGATTACGTGGGCCGATCAACGACGATTTCGAGTCGGAGTTGGCGGGTCGGGCAGCTGATGGTTTCGCAAGGGACCCCGGGCCTCTCACGGGGAAACGAATTTTCGGGGCGTAATAAGATACCGAAACGAGCAATTTTCGACCGTAAAGTCGCGTGCAAATCGACGCGAGTCAGAAGGAACGGGACAACCGCGCCTTGAATGAAACCATTCCCATGCGAAATCGCACGATGCGTATGCGAGTCGCGTGGGCCGCGGCCAGAGGTGCATTAAAATAATAAAATCGAGAGATGTGCGTCATTATTGCGCCACGCCGGTGGTCACCGCGTGTGCACGAGGAGCACGTTCGCGCGCACGCACACTGCCACGCCGTTTTCACCGACCGACACATTACGCGGCCGTCATTTCACTGTCATTAACATATAGCCGGATTCCGGTCGGCTGCACGTGCACAGGCCAGATCCCGATGAATTATACCCGCGTAACGACAAATCATAATCACTTCGCAGAAATTACGGGTAAAGATAGACCGTCTGTACCTCGCTCCGCCGCCGGAAACATTCCGACGAGCTTCTTCGTTTTTGTTTTCTTTTTGAAAATACTGTCTAACGGAATGGAACGTTGCAAAACTGAGTGTTCATTGTCCGGTTTCCTTTAGTTTAACCACTTGCACTCGATTTATTTTCAGTGTTGTTGGGTGTAAATTTGTATTTACTTTTAGTTAAATGAGTTAAAGTAATTTACAGCAATAGAATTCAGCGTTTTATATTTATTTTATTTATTATTATTATAATAGGATTTAAATTTTATAATCTTCTAAAGTGTGGTACTTTTTTAAACAATTTTCAACGTTCTATGACAAATTTGTATTATTATCTCTAACATGACATACGAGTGCA